CTGACAGAAGTAAAATCTATTCTTATCCTTTTTGAGTAATCTGATATGACCATGAAACAGAGCACAAAATCACTGAAGAGGGAGAACTGCTTCATTAAATGACATTTGTTTTAAATCAGCCTTTTCTGAAGGCTTAAACTTGCACTACTGGTTTTGTGTGTTGCTAAACTTGGTTTTCACAATTTACACTTTTTTAGTACTGTACTTGGTGGCTTACCAGTCAGTTGTACTCCTCCTAAACTAGTGCATTGCTGTGTTTTTTAGGGGGTTTGGGTTGTGTTTTTGAAGTTGATGTTTAAGGTGGTAGGAAGTGTGTCTGGAGAACTTTACAGGTTGTAATGGAAAACTGGAATTAAAATATCCAGTTATAGAGCTTTACTGTGGTAGTGGACCAATGACAGTTCTGATTCTCTTTTTAAGTGCACGAAGGCAGACTGACTATTGGGTATTTTGGGTTCTTTGTGAAGATTAAGGACTCTTCTTTCATCCCAAGAAATAGATGAACTGCTGCAAATCAGTAGGATAATGACATCAAGAAATGGAACCACATACGCTTTTTGTTCTCGTTTACAGACATTTCTGTGGCATTCTTTATAATACCATCGTGTTCAGAAAGAGATAATGGCAACTGTCTTAACAGAACTGAAAAACAGAAGAGGTGGTTGTTTAAAGTTTGAGAGTGGAGACAGATTCGACGACTTGCCGGAGGACGGGCATGATGTCTGTGGCAATGCTCAAGTCTTTCCTCATGCTATTTAAAGGACTTGATTACTGATCCTGTTTTCACAGTAGTATTTTTCTAAGACCTAGATCGTGTTGCGCCTTATGAGTACCTTATAACAACTCCTACTGTCTGAACCTGTTTGTCTGTGAGCTTACAAACCTGGAATAATGAAGTGGTTTGGATAATTTTGGCACAGGGCTTGTGTTCAGACATTTGATAGTTATTGACCTTCCTTCTGTGGAGAAATCTGGCTCACTGCACAGCTGCACATACGCATGTGCCAGGACATCGCTGAGGAGTGAACAACTGGTGGGCAAGCATTACTGGCCCTGAATATGCAGTCTGATAGGGCAGATAGCAAGCAAAATGTACTTCAGGAGCAGTTGTTCTGGATATTATGTATTTATATTCCCCAGTTAGCTTACGTTGAGTTGTAGTTAGCAGCTTAGTGAGGGATGAGCCAGCATTGTTTTAATACTGAAGAGGAGCTTCTGTAAACTAGTCTGCTTCCAGACTGTAGCAAATGTACATTCAAAAGGACAGACCTTCTGGTTCTCATTGATAGAGGATGACACAGACGCCTGATGTAAGATTGCAATGCAAGTCTGCAGCTTTATATAGCTTCTATACACCGTGTGAATGTAGGGCATCTGCTAACTTTTGTGATCCCTCAGTAGCAAACCTGATCTTGGCATGGTGGGGAACAAGGCTTCGTTCGCTACATTTCTAAAGACTCAGTTTCTCTGGGCTTGGTAGCGTTAAGTCTTAATGAGTTACAACAAAGCTGAGTTTCTTTCTGTGCTGGTTATCCAGAAGACCTCCTCATTTGGTCGTAAAACAAAATTTGTTTGACGCTGTTTTGTTCTTAGCAAACACTGACAACTTGTTTTGTTTCCCTGTCTCCTTTTAAATGCTTACTGGAACAAATAAACTATTAATACTACTTCTAAAACTGAAGCTAAACTTATTGGCCCATGATTCTTCAGTACTTTAACCTTTTATTTAGTTGAGTTTTCTTTACTCTGCATTGCTGCTAACCTGTAAGCAATTTAGTCAGTTGACTTTATGGGGGGGGGGGGAAAAGGCATTTAACACACCTGCCTTCTCAGGGTCATGGTGGGCTTTTGATGTGTATGGCACTGCTTCTGTTGGTCTTTGTGTTTTCCTGTGTTTGTCCTATCTAGCATCTTGCCCCCGCATGCTTGTGGTAGTTTTTATGCTCTACCTTAGTAATCTGACCTATTTTCTGTGTCTTGGATGCTTCCTGCTCATATTTTACGGTCAGTGAAGGCCTCAAGACTTGGCCAACTGCACTCCTTTCCTCGCCCAATAGGACTGTTGGGTTTGTAATAGGTCTCCAGTTAAATAACCAGATTTCCATAACTCCGTGTTTTGCCTTGGGCTTCTCCATAACTCTTTCTCGCCTTGCACTTGCCTATTGTGAGACTTCCCCTGAGTTTGCTTACCCTCTGCTTTCTTGAAGCCCTGTATTGGACTTTTTTTTTGTTTGTTTGTTGTTTGTAAAGGTCTTAGTAGTTAGTGTTGTCCTTTGTATGAGCGACTGACAGGTTATTTTAACATGTAACATAAGGGGGAGGTTTGTGTGTGCAAACTAAAATAAATCTGCCAGTTCACTGATTGTGTCTGAAAATGGTTTGGGTGATTCAGACTTCAAAATACATTGTTTCCCCAGCCTTAAGCATGCTTTTGGGACTTGGTGTTCATTAGCTGCATAGTTCTCACTCTAGGTTCCTAGCTTCTTGTTTGAGTGTGTGTACGCTGCTGGAGAGGGGTAGTGGGAGACCATGGTGCCAAACTCACTACAAGTCTACGTGGGTCAGAGTGCTCTGCTGCCTTCTCCAGCTCTTCCCAGCTGGTCGTTGAGGAGTCTGTACTAGGCTGATCTCTACCTCAGCTCCATGAAGCTTAAATTTTGAGTGTAAATCTGCTTTTCATAAATCCCAGTGACATTGAAAGTGGACAAATTGTCTGAAATATTTTAAGACTTTCTGGTTATTGCTGCAAGAGAAATAAGGCTTTTTGCACTGGTGAGAGTTTTAGCACACTGTGCTGCTACTGCTCCTACAGCTGTTCTAATACTGAGTTAGGAAACAGGCATCTGTGATCTTGCACATGAAAATATTGATAGAGGTGGAAAACCTGTAACTAACTACTGTCTGCATTTCATGTGTTGTGACAGGGAAGAGCAAAAAAGATCCCCAATTTTACATTTTAAAAAAACACATTTGTTATCATAGTGAACAATGTAGTCAGTTTGCGTTAGTTTTGCATGATATGCAAAATAGTCCTTCCTGAGGATCCTGATCCTTTTGATGTATGGGTATTTAGAAATTAACCTAAACTGATTTTTTTTTTTGGTGCTCTTAAGATGTATAATAGTAGCTAATGATATAATTTTACAATACAGATAATTGTTATATATGACGGTTATATAAGATCACACAGTGCTTATAAAACTACTTAGTACTAGTTTTAAATGTAATTTTATGCCTCCTTTAATAGATAGATTACTAATAGAGCTGCTCCCTGCCCATGAACTTTCAGCTTTTTTTTTTTTAAGTCTGAGGAACATAGTCCGTTCCTTGGTAACAGTACGCTGTATCTCCATTTCAAAATGCTTCCTTGTTGTCTCTGAGGAGATGCTGTTTTGTTTTGTTTCTGTTTTAGTTAATTTGAAGCTGATTGCTATTAGTGAAACTGATCATAGAATGACTTCATTAACATACTAATTTTTTTCATCACGGAAAGGCCTAAAATACATGGCTTCCTGTCTGGATATTTTAGCTGATTGGGTGAGACGAGTTTTATTTAAAAACAAGCATACTCAGGACAAAAACCCTGGAGGAAAAAAGACCTAATACCCAGAGATGCAATTAATGTCACATAGTCTGGATTTATGGAAAATATTTTTATGAACATGATGTTTCCTGATCACATTTCACACAGGAGCGTTTTAGTTTGCAGAAACGTTTCTGCTTCTGCATCATATTCCCCTATTACTGAAAAAAATACTTAAACCCCCACAAAAACTAGAAACTATATAATTTTAATGGTTATGTTAAAGTTTAGCGATGTGTCAAAGGCTCTCAGAGTGATTTGGCATTAAAACAAATTACTGAGGTTGTAGAGACAATATTGTTAACAGATTTTGAGACTAGTTTCAGTGTCTAGTGGTGATAGTTCAAGTACATTTAATTTCATTTCCTAGCAGATGATAACTAGTGAACTGCCTGAAGTCTCCTGCATGTTTACTTTCTATAGTTACAGAGGGAATGATCTGTTTTACAGGGAGAAAGAAACAAGAGTGGAAGCGTAGTGGGTACAAAACAAGAAAAAAGCTGTTTTCTACTCTTGTTCAGACAAATGTCTCATTCCAGCAGTTAAATCAGTATCAAGAAGTGGGGCAAGAAAATCTGCTTCAGTTCTGTGAGACAAAGCTGCTGGTCTTGTTAAGTAGACTTGCACTCCCTCTCAATTACTTGCTTTTCTTTGGAATATTTCCTGTGTTTTGGATAAGTTAGCACGATCTGAGAATGTATTGTTCAGCATAAAAAAGGCAAAACAACTTGTGCTCAAACTTTGTGAGACTGCACTGGGAAAATGCTGTGCTGTGGGATGGGTACTTGGGAGTTTTCTAGGCAACCAAAAAAGATCTTTGGAATAAGGTTCTTCATGATGTTCTCTGTTAAGCCTCTTTTTGATTGTATGGTTTTCGTTGTTTATAATCTTCGCTGAGGTTTGAGTCGCTGTAAGATGCTTTCTGGTGTGAAAGGAGTTAAATATTATGTATGCGATATTCTGGTGCTTCTAAGTATTGACTAGGGGGCTTGCGGAAAGTATCATAGTTGTATTTATGTCAAAAAGATTATTTTTTAATGCATTATGATTAAAAATGTTTGATTATGAATGGAGTGTAGCTATGAAAGAGAGCTTGAGTGTTCTAGTTTTCATCCTTTCAAGATTTTAAAGCCACTTTCTGCGTGTATTATATTTTCAACCACTGAAGATGTGCATAGGCTGTGGAATCTGGTTGAAAACAAGATTTATGACAGAAAACTATGCTGTAGTCATATTTAGCTGTAGTATGACTGGGGAAAATTTAAAATTACGAATGAGCTTTATTTTATGTGGCTGGTGTAATGGGAAATGTGTAGGATGCTGAAAACGGGCCATACCTGGGAAGAAAAGGATTTTATGGCGTTCTCAAAAGTACTGCATTGTGACTCTGTTCCTCTCTTTTAAATTTTGTTTTCAGATCTTGAGTCAGATGACTGTGCGTCCATATACATCTTCAACGTAGACCAGCCGTCATCCTCTGTGAACCAGCCCATTTGCATTCCTCGCCATGGATTGCAGTCTCACTCCTCTCCTCTGTCACCACCAACAAGACTTCAGGGTCACAAGAGCTATGAAGGAACTTGTGAGGTTCCAGAACCCAAATACAGCCCCCTAGGAGGACCCAAACCCTTTGAGTGCCCTAGTATTCAAATCACATCTATTTCACCCAACTGTCATCAAGGAATTGAAGCCAACGAAGATGAATTGCACACAAATGGCACAGAAAATGAATATATGGAAAGGCCTTCTCGGGACCATCTCTATCTTCCTCTTGAGCCATCGTATAGGGAGTCATCCCTTAGTCCAAGCCCTGCTAGCAGCATTTCATCCAGAAGTTGGTTTTCGGATGCTTCCTCTTGTGAATCCATTTCTCACGTTTATGATGATGTAGACTCAGAGCTAAATGAAGCAGCGGCTCGATTTACCCTTGGCTCTCCTTTGGCATCTCCTGGTGGTTCTCCGAGAGGCCCCAGTGATGAATCTTGGCAGCAGCCTTACGGATTTGGGCATGCCTTGTCACCTAGACAGTCTCCCTGTCATTCTCCTAGAACTAGTATTACAGACGAAAATTGGCTAAGCCCCAGACCAACATCAAGACCCTCATCAAGACCTACGTCCCCCTGTGGGAAACGCCGACACTCCAGTGCTGAGATTTGCTATGCTGGTTCTCTCTCTCCTCACCATTCTCCAACTCCGTCACCTGGCCATTCTCCCAGAGGAAGCATAACAGAAGACACGTGGCTAAACACTTCCATCCATAACGTACAAGGCCTCAATTCTGGCCTCTCACCATTTCAGTGTTGTACAGAGACTGATATTCCTCTAAAAACACGAAAGACCTCCGAGGATCAGACTGCCACTTTATCTGGAAAAATAGATGTCTGTCCTGAAGAACAGGGTAACTTGTCGCCATCCCTTGAAACTGCAGTAGATGACTGCTCTGGATCGCAGCACACCTTGAAAAAAGATTTGCCCGGAGACCAATTTCTTTCTGTTCCTTCGCACTTTACTTGGAACAAACCAAAGCCTGGTCATACTCCTATATTTCGGTAAGTGATCAGAAAGTCCTTCAGAAGGCTTCCCTCCTGTTTTTCCCTTCCTGTGCATCTTAAATAGATGTGTAAATGTGCTTCTATTTCAGTGATGTGTTAAGACTTCTTAAAGAAAACTTTTTGTAGGCAAGTAGATGATATAATTAGGAAAAACCAGAGTTGAGACACCAAATACCCTTCTTTAAAAAAATGCAGTAGAGGCACTGTAACACAGGATTAGTTTTATTTAAATAAAGTTTGTTTGCATACATGTGCAGAGCCCAGCTGAATCAAACGTCTGCAGATTTTATGCATTTTGCAATTCCATCAAATATGAGCAGTTAACATTTAAACATAGCTACAGAAACCTGACTTACGTGATTTTTATAAAGCTGAGAGCACAAAAGAGGTGGGGAGTTTATTTGCTTTTGGTTTTACTTGCTTCTTGGGTTGATAGAATTCTAGAAATAGCATAAATAAATTTGTATGGCACACTGAAAATCAAGAAAGAATTGCTTTCTGGGCTGTAGTTCCAAGGGCATTTCCCCCATGGTAGTGCTGAGTTGACCCTTTTCCTTCTGTAGTCTGTCACGTGCTAGCAGGATGGTTTGTAGGGGCTCAGGAGAGGGAACTAGTTCAGCTGGGGAGGAAAATGCACGCTCCTTCCATTTCTGTCACTTCTTACATGGAGCAGCTCCCATCTTTCCAACCGTATAGCTCCTGGTGGCGCGGTGCGGCAGGGGGAGCAGAAATGAGGAATCCTTAAGCAGCATGGCTGCTGGATGGACAGATACCATGGTTACTTGGCTCAAGTTACCCACCTGATTCCTCAACCACCTTCTTGCTCTACTAGGTTTTAAAAATCAGGGATAGGGGGGTACTGGGAGGAAGGAGCTGCTGACTTTTTTTTACGTGGAAGTGTTGTAAGAAGGTCAATCAGTTACATGGATAACTGCTTAACATATTAAAAGCCATATTATAGGTTTAAGTGTCAGTGCTTCCATGCTTCTACCAAATAGACTTCAGTGTTCTTCTGAATTCTGACAACGAACTTCGAAGTTTCACTGCCGAATGAGTCACAAAAGACTCATTTTTATTACTACAAAACTTCTGTTAATTTTAAAACTAACTTTTGTATAAATTCTTTAGAAGTTATCAACTAGCTTAGATTGTTACTATCAAAACATATTTAAACAAGGCTTATTTAGCTGTTCTGTCATTTTTTGCATAATTCTATAACCACAGATTTTAATTTCTCCTCAGGAAGGTGTTGATTTTAGTGAGTAAATTTCCCTCCCCCCCACCTTTTATGCCCTTCCACATAACTGTTTATGAATGGGAAGTTTTAACAGTAAAGACTCAGAGCTGCTAGCTGGGAAATTCTGTTTTACCAGATCAAACTCCAGTGTTGGCAGATGTTAACTGGCTCGAAGGTGTGGGGTTTTTTTTGCGTTTCAGGTTGGTTGGTTTTTTTAATTCTGTTGCAGTCTGCTGACCTGTTAAGAAAAAGGTGATCAGTATGTTACCAAATCTTTTCATTCTACCTGAAACAACGATAACTGTTTTTCCTTAATTGTGTACTCTGGAATTGCATTATATTTATGTGGATACCCAGCACTCCTGACTCGCAGGCTAATGTAGCTCCTGAAAGGTGAGCGCTACGGAAGGCACATGGGCATACAGGCATGTGGCAGATTTGGGGGTGTGGATCTATGGTTCTTCTGTGGGAGGACCAAAATAGTTACAAAACCAGATACTCAGTGAAACCTGCTTCCTCTTGTAGTGGGGGAACTGACCAGACCTGAATAAAATCAATTTTACTGTCATTAAGAAGTAAAAATATTTTTTTTAAATGTCAGAATTTATTCAGAAGTTGGCATTTTATATTCTCTGAATATAAAATGGGCAAGCATGCAGAAGACAATAGAGGCTACACCTATTAACAAGTAAACTAAATAAAACTAAGCTGTATAGTTTTGCTGCCAAAAGTGTAGTCTGACTGTTGAATTAGTGGAAATGGCTGCCCTGGCAGCTGTATCCTCAGTGAAATGTTGAATTCCTTAGCAGCTGCAGCCTGTTCCACAGCTGCTGTAAGAGTATGCATCTTCAGTATGCTAAACCATCGCAGTCTGTCAAATAATATATTTGTATTTTGATGCTTATAAAGTAGGGCAGCTGAGTTTACTCTTACGTTTTAGGAATAAAAATGAAATGCAAGAAGACCCACTGTTTCTTAAATAGTTTGACTGTGACGGAAAGTGAACACTTCAGTTGTCATAATTAGATACTGATTGCAATTTGTGTCTTTATTACATATTCTAGATACAAACAGATTAATTACAATATAAATTACTATGTGTATTACAAATAATATTCTTTTAAAATGTCATAATTTTATTGTCAAGCACACAGTAGTGCATGAAGTAAACGACAGTATTGATTCCAAGCATACAAAGTGACTGACAAGTGTGCACACTCAGCTGCAGTAAACTGACCGCTGGTAGGTAGGAGTGGGGATAGTTCCCTCCCCTGTGATGTGTTGTGAAATGTGCAGATAGCACCTTCTTTTGTGATTGCTATCTAAAGTTCTGTAAATCTGTAACCCAGTTAGCTATGGAGTCCTGACTACATTTTCCTTGCTTCCCTGTTCAGTAATGTGCAATACTTAACAAAATTTTAAAATGTATAACATGCTTTTGAGCATTTTAGTTGTATTTCAGATGCCATCCAAACAATTTTGTTAGATGACAGCTTGTTATTTGGTCACAGAAACCCATAATCTGCCAGTGTGTTGCATATGAAAAATGTGTGTGTATGATGTGCCCTGAGTCACATTTGTGCTTCTTTGTCAAAGATAAGTCTAGACAAGTGACATGGACAGAACCAGTGGAACAACTCCTTTCCAACAGGCAAAAAGGGCTTAAGGAGTGTCTTCTGTATCTAGGAATAGTGATGGTATCTGTCGATGATGTCACTGACGAAGCACCTTGGCAGATCATAGAATCATAGAATCACTAGGTTGGAAAAGCCCTTAGAGATCATCCAGTCCAACCGTATCTGTCCACCACTAAACCATATCTTTCAGCACCTCATCCACCCGTCTCTTAAACACATCCAGGGATGGTGACTCCACCACCTCCCTGGGCAGCCTGTTCCAGTGCGTGATAACCCTTTCAGTGAAGAACTTCTTCCTTACATCCAATCTAACCCTTCCCTGGCGCAGCTTGAGTCCATTCCCCCTCGTCCGAACATCTGTCATTAGGGAGAAGAGACCAACACCCACTTCTCCACAACCTCCTTTCAGGGAGTTGTAGGCAGTGATCAGGTCTCCTCTCAGCCTCCTCTTCTCCAGGCTGAACAAGCCCAGTTCCCTCAGTCGCTCCTCATAAGACATATTCTCCAGACCCTTCACCAGTTTTGTGACCCTTCACCAGTTTTGTGGCCCTTCTCTGGACACGCTCCAGGACCTCAATGTCTTTCTTGTAGTGAGGGGCCCAAAACTGAACACAGTACTCGAGGTGCGGCCTCACCAGTGCCGAGTACAGGGGGAGAATCACATCCCTGGACCTGCTGGCTCCAGGGATGTGATTCTCCAGAATGAGAGCCCTCCAGATGAGGGCTCTTAGTAAGGCAGATTAAACTGGTGGTTTGACAGAATATTCAGCAGTGAAGTTATTTGATAATTTCATTTCTTACATTGTTATTCTTGTTACTGTTATTTAAGATACCTCTTTCTTCCACCTTCCAGCCTTCCCCCAGGATGATCGATAAGAAATTTCTTTATCTGTGTTTCTCATGTTTCCTTCCCCTATGCTTGGAAAATCCCTTTCTTTTTGGGATCTTAAGCAAATGGGGAGGTCAGATCTACATCACCACCTTATTTGCCCAATTTTGTGAAGATGCTGATTTTATGACTTTTTCTTGCATATCTACTGTTAGGGCTTGAGTTTTACTCAAAAAATAAATGAGTATTTTTCTGTCACTAAATCTCTTTAAAAGACCTATTTCTAGGCTTTTGTGTAAAGTTATTTCAGATTCTTTTATTAATTGGATTCTTGTTCTCGTTCACTCCTTTCCCACGTTCTGTATTGGCTGTTGGAAGGGAAATATAGATGCTTCAAGTTCTCTTTCATATTTAGATGGCCTGTGTCAATATAGGTTATAAATAGTCTAGAAGAATGCTAGGGAATTGTTTCTTCCTAGAATCTGTTCAGATTCAAATACCTAATTTTGATCCGCTTGCTCTCACTGAGGCACTATCTGAAAGGGGTTAGTATGTCAATTATCTCAATTGTACCCTTACGCCTTTGAAACTTAGTGAAAGTTCTGTGTAGTTGGTATGTAGTAAATATTTATGAAACCATGTAATGTTGGGAAGCCCTTCAAGACTGATCCCTTCTATTAAAATTTTCTTGTTTAGATTCCAGACAACCTCCTTGAGTACAAAGCTGCTCTGTCAGAAAGATGAGTAGCAAATAGTATTTTGAAGTGTTATGTATACTTGTTTTACATAAATTAATGTTCCCAGTTACAGTATCTATAGTCGTTCTGTGTCTGATCTGTCTCCCCTGAAACAGGTTCACACTTGTAAGATTTCTAGAAAGGTTGGGGGGAGGGTGGGGCAGAATTAGTCTGTTTTACAATACTTTTTTTTAAACCTGGAATAAAAAGAGTCCAGGGATGACCCAGAAACCTCTACTGATCAATCAATGTAATATCACCTGTAATACGTGTGGTGAGGACTTGTCAGTAAAAGTACAATTCCTAAGAGACCAGCGACATTCCTGGGGTAACAGCCACGGTTACGGTGTTCTGGAGTTAACATCCGTCACAGCCTTGGCCAGCAGTGATGCAGGTAACACGGGGCATTTTGTTAGCAGAGCGGTCGATGATGGTAGATAACCAGGCAATAGTCACTAATGGGCAAAAATCTTGAAATAAAACCTAGTTTCTTTTATTCTGTCTTCCCTCGTGGAGTCCTTAGAGTCTTACACATTGATATAAAACCTGCTGTATCA